TCTTTGATTCTGTGATTCTATGTACCTGGTGGACTGAAGGTAGATGAGAGAGCAAGTATTTGGTGCAAAAAAAGGCAGTGAAAATTCCCATCTGCATATGCGACTAAGTTTCTGGGAATATTTTTGCCCCAGAAGGGATCATTCTATGTCACCCATAGGGTAGTCAGAACGCTCTGCTAGATCCCTGACTGGTAGCTCCAATTCTGGGCTGTTTAAAATGAGTTTATCCTGCTGTCAGTCCTTCCACCCACAATGGAAAACATTATGGCTCTCAGGTTATACTGCCTCCAGTTTTCTGAACTTCTCTACAAGCTCTTGCAGTGCTACAGCTTTCTGCTGTTTTAAAAACAAATTTTTGGTTTTGATGGTTACCAAAACTATTCCTAACCTTTGGCAGACAGTCTTTCATATAAATGAGAACTTCTTTAATGTTTCTTCAATCCACAAATCTCACTGGTAGTACTATCACTGACCATTTGAGGTGGAAAATCTTGAATTAGACAAGTTTATTTTTAAAACTAAGTACGGTTTCTTTGTGAGTGATAACCTTTCCATGTGAGTTTTCAAGATGACCAGTGACATTAACATTGCTGTATCAAGTTTTTCTAATGCTCTTTTTTAAATTTAATTACATAAAGCTGGCAAATTTTTGTGCCGTCTATGTTACATACATATTTTTGGAAGGTTGAAGCTGGAATATCAATCTATGAAGCAAAATTTTACCCTACTGAACTGTTGCAGGGGAATGTACTATTCACACAATATAGAAGATCAACATCTCAATTAAATGTCACTTCAGAACATTTGACCTCATTGATTTTTATAAATATGTAAAGGGTGAATGTCAGGATGATGGAGCCAGGCTCTTCTCAGTGATGCCCAATGACAGGACAAGGGGCAATGGGTGTGAGCTGGAACACAGGAGGTTCTGCTTAAACTTGAGAAGAAACTTCTTTACAGTGAGGGTGACAGAGCACTGGAACAGGCTGCCCAGAGGGGTTGTGGAGTCTCCTTCTCTGGAGACATTCAAGACCTGCCTGGACGCCTTTCTATGTGATCTCACTTAGGTTCCTGCTCCAGCAGAGGGTTGGATTAGATGATCTTTCGAGGTCCCTTCCAATCCCTGACATTCTGTGATTCTGTGACAGATATTAAGAAAATAACTGCCTGAAATTTGCCTAGATTCCTACCCATTTGAATGTATAAGAAATGCTTGCAACAACATCTATCAAACACACATCAATGCACTTAATAATTCCACATTTCTTTGAATCATTCATCTATTTAAATCTAAGAGGTATCTAAAAGATAATTGCCATTAAACATTTTTATGTGTGATAGCTGGATTCCATGTCCAACACCGTATTCTTTCAATGTGCTGATCAGTGTTAAATTTGGAAAAGCTAATGCACTGTATAGAGAAGAGAAGAGAAGAGGAGAGGAGAGAAGAGAAGAGAAGAGAAGAGAAGAGAAGAGAAGAGAAGAGAAGAGAAGAGAAGAGAAGAGAAGAGAAAGAGTCTGTCACAGAGAAAAAAGCCAGAGGTCCTCTCACTAATTTGTGGACTCAAGAGAGCAGAGCTGTCATCTGTGCCTTAAAGATAAGAATGAAATCAGTCCATAAGGATTACTTGTGACGTCTCCCCTACACACACCCCAACCCCTCTTCCTGCCTCTGTAGTTAGAAAAAGTTTATGGGGAAACTTTTTGTCTTCACTTTCAGTAGTTCATAAAGGTGTCTTCAAATAAAATTATGTGCTAGCAGGAAAAACACCACCACCATATTCTTGTATGTGTAAATACTTCATGTATTCAGCTTACAAGATCCCCTAGGCTCTACAGGCTATATATTCAATAAAGATGTCAGACTGAACACTTCCATCATGCAATCCCCTTCAAGGCAGACCTTTTTCAAGGCTTAAATGCATGTATAGACATTACACTGTCCTATGACACCTAACTAAAGAAGACTTCCATATCCAATTGGTAGTGTGGAAAATGTAAGATATGCTTCCCTGGTTTATTGTTGCCAGATGCAAGTGTGCTCTGTCCTTACATCTGATAGATACAAGAAACTCTGCTTGAAAAGGTACATAACTACAGTGTCCGAATTACTCAGCTTCAGCTAATGACTGCAGTCAAACAGATTTTTCTGAAGTGTGGGTCACATAATTTTGGATAAAAAATGTCTTTCCCCTGGATATCTCAGAGCACAAACACAGAGAGAGCACCTATGTGAAGTAAATCCACATTCTTTCCAAAGAGAGATATGAATTTTGGGATAAATAGAAGTTTTAACAACTTGATTCTCTCCATAACAGTTCAACTTTCCTACTGAATTATTTAACAACTCTGTTGCAGCAGAATACTACTCAGGAGCATACTCTTCCAAAGGAAACCAGCAGTCGTGTCTGTTAGATCCAGTATATAATGTTATTATGGTCTGTGATAACTTGGGAGAGGGAACATCACCTCTATGACAGATCTTGCAAGACAACTTTCTCAGCATCACAGCATCACTGAAACATGTACTAGTTAAGAAACCCATTCTCTTTACTGAGAAAATGGTGTGCATTTCATTTCCTGAAACATCTTATGCACACTTGTAATGAGGTGGTGATCCAACTGCTTTTCGAGATGTGTCCTGATTGGTTTACAAGGTCTGGAAGAAATCCTCCGTATATATACATTCAAAGTATTTCTAGAGAGTGTGTGTGGGACAGTCCATATGGTGTGGCAATATCAATGTAACATTTTGTCAAATTATGTGGTAAAATTACATTTAATCAAGAGGAGGTGGAGGACCTTTTTAAAAGATGTTTCATGAAACCATGTTAACTCCAATCATATCCCATTGGCATATTGACCAAAAGGTATTTTTGGTCTTCTCAAATTTCATTTTAAAACTGAATTCTTCAGTCAAGGTTTTTATTACTTACTTCAATTTGAATTACATTGTGTTCAAAATGATCATAGCAGTTTTAGAATAAAAAAGGCAATAAATTCCTTGCCCCAAGAAATTTAAAGCCTAGATAATGTTCACTAGAGAGAAGTAAAATTAACTGCATTACTTAAAGCCTGGGAGCTGTTAGATGCTGTAATTATTAAGATGGAAGAGTTCAGACACATAGATAAGACAGACAAATAAACTACATATTGTCATGAATAGACTTGTCTAGTCAGTTTACAAAGCTATCTCCACTGTAAGATCAATTATAATTAAACCTAGTCAGGTAATTACACACATTTGCATGCCATTTATTTGTCCACACTATTAGTGTAACTATGGAACAGTGTTTGTGAGAGAGTACTAGAATTGTAGCTATTGTGAAAAAAGACATAAAGTAGGGAAGAGTGGGAAAGGCTCAAAGGCAAATGTTGCTGAAACACATGGAAAACTTAAAGCTATGTTGAAACAAAGGATTATAAGGGCTGAATTTTGTTACCTATTCCCATTTCTCAGTTTGCACAAAGATTTGACCAACTGTAAATTAAATTAGGGCACAACAACCAAAGCACCTCTGTATCTGTTGGACAGTATGGACCACAGTAATGCTCCTCCCAGTGATGCAAGAGTTGTGACTACCAAAAGGGTATCTTGTTGCTTCCACCAGGTCAAATCTCAATCATTTATGCAAGAAATATTTTCAAATTTTATTCTGATATTAAGCTGAAGAGAACTGACCTATTGCAAGGAAAAAAAAGGTCAGCAAGGTTCTTTTTTACAGTATTTACAGTTGTTTTGGTAACATAGAAATGTGTAGCTACCAGTGACCTGAGAGGTAGAAAGAACCTCTTTCTACCTCTGTAAGAGTAAGTGGTTTTAGCCATGTAAGAAGTCTAGTGGCACAGTATAATCACAGATGTTAAAAAATTATGCAAGCTCCACAGGAATAAGGAAAAATTCAGATTGATGAAGGTGGGAGGAAGATTTGTACTTTAGGAGAGAAAGCAAAGGTTTGTGAAGCTCTGAACAACTGAACAGATATCTAATTATCTTCAGACTAGTGAACCAAGGCATCATATTCACCTGAGAGACTAGCAGGGTGGGGAGGTAAACAATTCTGTCCTGGTGTTCTGCTTATTTCAGTCATTTTGGAAGCTGACACCAAAGGGGTCCCCACCATGTCTCTCAGTTCCCAGCTGACACTTGAGAAAATCTCAACTCCCAACATCCACTACTTAGTTTTTAATGTCTCAGGTTCCCAGTCCTCAAAGCAGAGAAACTTCTCTCACAAATATTTCCAATATGCATCCTTCAGGAAGCAAAGACACACAAGCTGACCATCACCTGAGAAGCAATGAAAAACTCTGAATAGAATCAGTAATGAATTTTTTTTATGCCTCTTAATGCAAAGGAAAAAGAATCCATTCATCCTTTGAATGGACTTTTGGTTGCAGATGAGAGAAAGCAAAAAGCACATTGGCCTTTCTTTTGTGGGAGGAGGAGCACTTGGAGCCGTAACCCACACTATCTTGCAATAGGCAGAGGCCTCCAGGCCCCAGAGCAGCAGGTTGAAACAGGCTAGTAGCAGTGAGAATATCAGAACAAAACAGGCTCGTTGGGTGGCCAGGATAGAGAAGCAGTTGGAGAGAAAAGAAGCAGCAAATAGTTGAGAAGAGGCTGAGGGAGATAGAGAATCACATAGTTCTGTTCAAAAAGATTTCAGTGCAGCTCCAAGAGACAGAAAGACACACGGGTCACAGTGAGAGGCAGAAGGGAACGAAACTTACAGTTTTATGATAAGTAGAGGTGTTAGGAAGAGAAGGTGGGTGGTGAGTTGCAGAAATATATCCATTTCCCTCCCTTTTATTTTCTTTAAGGGCGTTTTTCTCGGAGTGTTTCTTCTCTTTCCTCCTCCCCACAGCAATCAGCCAAGCTGGGAAGAAGAGATTGGCTCTGAACTTAGTAGTGTGTCTTGGCACAGAAGACTGATAGTGAACAAGTAAACAGAGCTGACAACTGTGGTAACCACAGGAGCAAAGGCTGCTCAGTGACAAGGATGAGGATTCTTCCAGAGGTAAGGTAATGGGTCTGTCTTGCAGTCTGCTGAGGTACCTTCATTGCATCGCACTCTTTTTCTTCCCCTGTAATAACTACACTGCTTATTGCCTTAGGTAACTGGAGCATTTGAGGTTTTGACAGTTTGTATCCAGAAGGGGCTTGCCCAGATCTCAGAATTAACATGTGGGACGTTCTTGCCTTTCCTGTTAGTCATTCTAATGGCCATTCTGAGGCTTTATTCAGATCTATTTGAAGCACTGACCAACAAGTAGTAGTAGTAATACTAGTAGTAGTAGTAAACAACATAATAATCTGATTATTTTCGTCTTTTATTGTATCTCAATTTTTTCAATGAATTATTTTAAGAAAATACTTATGCAGAAACACGCAGATTTTTTTCCCCACAAATAATTGTGGGTAAACATGGCATAGATTTCTGAATGTGAGAATGACATGGTAGGCCTGATCATTCCCCATGTAGTGCAATGTCCTTTCCTGATTTGATGTCTTATATAAATAAATAGTAAAGTGTTAATTACATGTTTACAGACAGATTGGATTGAACTGAAGTGGTTGTAATGCAAACAGTCATTTTATCTTGCTTGCATTTTTCTGGCTGAAGAATTTGCAGAAATCTTTGGTTTATATATCTGTTCTCATATTTCTGTGTGATAAAGATCAGACAACAATAATAATTTAAAATAGTTATTGGCTATGGTTATGCTTCAAAAGTTTAGTAGTCCAGAATTTATATTTCAGCAAACTTTCAATTTAGTTTCTCATGTTAGCAGGTACTCTATTTGAACACGGACTAAAATATTATTTCTCAAATGGCATTTAATTAATCCAATTTCTATGCTTAAGTGATTTGCTGACAAAAGATAAATTTAAGAAAATGTTGAAGTTTTTGTGAGTATTGGGGCATTAGTCTGAAAACATGTCATCCACATGACTAATATGATAAACATTATTTGGGTAACAGCCAAAGTCAGTAATTCATGAATAATCTGGCTGAAAAATAATACCCCTAAATTGTCTGGTAAATAGTTATGAAAAAGAACTTAAATTCTCTTTGCCTTTGATATCTTTATTTTAATTTATTTTCATAAAAGTTAGATGCTTCTTTTTCTGCAACAACACTAAACACTGGGAAAATGCAAGATGAGGAAGAATTAGGCAGAGGAACTTCAACTTCCCTGCAGAATTCAGGCGTGGCTCACAAACAGAAAGAAAATGCTGAAGGAAAACCAAATTCTTTGGCTGGTTTAGTTGCATCAAACAGTTCTTGCTTTGGTGATAACAGTATCTGTCAAGACACTACTAGCCTAAGTCATGCTTGCATTTGAATCGGATTATTCACGTAGTATATAAATTCACAATTATTCATTTTATAATTGAGGATAATTACAAGTCACTTCTCATGTTTTTACAGGTATTTGATCTCACTTAGCTACAGTGAATCCATTTAAGTTTGAGCACTCGCACATTCTTAAAAGCATGAAAGAACTGAAACTGCACTAGAAATTCCATTTATCTTCAGCTTTATGCAAATACTAATCATTCTTCTCACTTACTTATAAGTGAGTCCCATATGGAAAAGTTCTGTCAGAGATTAAAAGCTCTTTATCCTTTCCCACATGCTTGTTCAAACTATTCACTTGTCTCTTTATATGGAGCATGCTGGATGAGGCAACCAAGCCTCAAAACATACCACAATAAAGTGCTTCTGCTTCCTGCAAGCTACGTTATGTGACCTGGAAATTTTTATATCCCACTGTCATTTCCATCTAGTTAAATCCACACTTTCTTGATCAAAGATCACTGCATTAGGAAGGGCTCTGTATTTCAGTGCCTGTGTTCTGTGAACCACTTAGTCCATTTGTGGCATAAAAGTGAAGTTGATACTACCTAAAGAAGTTGACAGGGATATTTCTCAGGTCAGTGTCTTTATAAGAGTACTGAAAGAGCACATATTTGTTTAGGTTTCTTTAAGCTGCTGTCATGAAAAAGATATAGGGGATAACGAAGTATGACAGCTCTCCTCTTTTTTCTTTATGTAGGTCCACAAGTTCTCTCACATCCAGGCCCAGTAACAGAGGCAAGATTAGAAAGACATTCCTTATGGAGGGTGAAGTGTTTGAAGAACACTTTTTATCCTTATGGCTCACATAACACAGACCTTAATCCAGTTTCTAAGTAGAGGTACACAACCAATTGCCATTCCTCTGTCTCTTCTTTTGGGGTATGCTATTCTTTTGGGGTATGCTATTCTTTTGGGGTATGCTGTTCTCAGCCAGGTACTTCTCTAACTGTTTCACATTCTAATCTTGAGGGGGTCCGTCTAGTTCTCTTACAAATTAAAAAAAAAATTATTATTTGATTCATTTTCCATTTCAAAAAGAACATAATGTATGGGCCCAATATAGATGTTACTGGTAACCAGAAGTTTGGCAGAAATTGCAGTGACAGTCTTTAAATACAAATTTCTTGTTTGTATCTCCACAGTCATGCCATTTAGTACTCAAAAGAGAGAAACAGATGTCCTCTGATGACATGAGACCAAAGAATTGCAATATTATTCATAGTAGGAAAAAAATTGCTGTTCATAGTAGGAACAGGCCAGATTTTCAATGTGAAAACCAAGAAGTTTATTGCAACAGAGAAGTCAGGAGCATTGTGAATGTAAACCATTCATTCCCACCTAAATGGTGAGAGATGAGGGCCTGCATGTTGAAGAATACTTTTTCTTCTTCCTTTTCAGCCAAGCAAATTTTCTTTCACTCACTTCCCTTTTAAGTCATGACACTCTCTACCTGAGGAGTAAAAGCTAAAGTGTTTTGCTACAGGGTCGTATGAAAGGAATTTGGATTTCCTCCCTTCTATTTCCTACACTGTACTTTGCAAGTATGGTCATGTTCTGTATCTAGCGCCTTTTAATGCCAGGATTCACTTGTATGTACTTGCTCTTCACTTAGTCATTCTGTATCCTGATTTAAGAAGTCAGGAGAATAGGATTTTAAAGGGAGAAAAGCAATTAGGGATTTAACCCTTATTAGTAGTTTCCATGAGTCAAGTAAGCTGACATATGCCTTTGAGAGGCTTCTGTTAATGACTGAATAAAATGCACATTTGAAAGATATAAAATTATGAGGACTGTATTTCTTTCTATGTTTTCTGTTCTGTTAATGTTTTTGCACAGGAATTGTATATAGTATATTAGGCAAGATGATTAACAGCAGATTCATTCCTCTCCTTAGCCTTTTCTCAGGTGAAGGGGTATATGCTGTGAAGTGCTTAAATTCTTGTAGGACTTTGCTCAATTTCTTCTTGTGGTTTTTGTAAAGATCTATGTTTTCTGTTTTTGTGGAAACGGAGGTAGATATCAAGCATGGTGATAAATGCAGTTTAGCTGCTACATGTAAGGGAACAGCAAGGGCAGACAAGGGAAGACAATCTAGAACCTGAGAGTCATGACAAGACAGGCAAGAAATAATTACTTTACCAGCAAGTGGTACGCCCCCACAGTACGGGAATGAGGGGGGTAAGGCAGGTCTGGTGACAGTAGCCAGGGTCAACCAAGAGTCTAGATTGCCAGGCAAGTCCATTGTGAAGAGGCAAGGTCAAGGTCAAACCTGCAGAATCAAGTCTGTAGTTTAAGATCAGGATCCAGATCAATGGATACATGGCCTGTGACAGGCATGGCTGCTCTGCAACATAGCTCAATGGGGATCATGCTTGAGAGCTGCAAAAAGCAGCTCCCAAGTGAAGAAGAGGACACCTCCACTGAGACTGCTTCTAGCTTTTTCTCAAAGAGCTCCAAGGCCTGTCAAAGTTTCTCAAACAGCTTTCTTTTATCAGAGAACCAGGCTCGAGCACAGGGAGCTAAATTGAGGCTGTGGGGACAGTACACGCCAGGCTCTGACACTGGCATGTAAGACTCTCAAAGTAGCACTTCCATCAGCTTTCACATCTATGAGATTTACTCCTTTCTTACTGTATGATTTCTTCTCTATCCTTCTTCTTCCCCTGTTCTCCATTATCATTTGTTGTTTCCCCTTCTGCCTCCTTTTTCTCATTGTATATTCTTATTCAGTTATTCCACTTTTAATTTTTTCAGTTCTTTCCCTTTCCTTACATTACCAGCATCCATTCCCATGTCTGTTATCCTGTAATCTGCTGTTCTCCAGTCTTATGTACATCAAAGTAGGTAGAAGCAGTAGACCCACACATTAAATGTCATTTTATCTAACTTAATCCAGGTAGACATTAACAGTGTATTCTAACATAGCCATCTAGCTTCCTTTGCAGTCAATGGAGAAAAAGATGGGTAATTCTGGAGAATGCTTCAGAACATCCTAAGACAGATGTCTAAAATAGAAGCTGTACTCTACTCATAAGGTGCCTGTCCATCTTCACTGACTAAAAAGACACACCTAGATTATGAACACAACTAAATTTAAGTGAGATAAAACCTGTCTGTATATAAGATCTCTGTAAGAGCTTACTGCAGTTTTTAGAATAGGGCAGATCTTTTCTCCCACTTGAACCACACTATAGTACTTAGGATGCAGGAGTTATTTCTTGAGGAGAGATCTGAAATTAGTGCTCAGGTTGCCAGACTGTAACAGAATAAAGAACCATCAGTGTTAGCCATCCCATTATTAGCTTTATGGGCTTAAAAAGGCTTTGATATCTTCAGGAGGTATATGCAAGATGATTCCATAAACCACAAGGAACTATGGAGGGACAGGGCTCCTCATGGCAAGCTGGCTTTTTGATGCATAATTCATAACACCCTGTAACTGTAGCTGGAAAACACAGGGAAATAAAGGAGGTGAGGAAACCCCCAGGCCTGCAGTCATGCAGATAACCTGGATGACTGTTGGCATTCTGACACTAGTCCTTTGAGTGATTTTCTAGTAGATTAGGTGGAAGATAGAGTATATGACCAGTGCTAACTTTAACATGAATTTTTCTTTCTTTGTTTTTTTTTTCTGTTTGTCTCATTTTTCTCTCTTCAGACCTGTGACCAGGAGCTGAGAACAGGTGCAAAGAAAGAACGATGCCTTCAGGGGAAAAGTCTACTTCTGTGTACACTTATTCTCAGTAATCTCCTTGGCTTTACACTGCTTATCACCTACATCATGATGTCTTGTGGTCTAGGTATAATATGGGATATCCTTTTCCCTGCTTCCTCATCCACCCCATTTGTAAGATCCCTTTCGCTTCTATCTTCCTCCGTTGTGTATTAGACTTAGCGTCTGTGTTAAAATTCAGATTTTCAGAATCTCAAAGAATAATAGTTGTAAAAATGTACACTGTTCTGCCTCTTCCTTGGGTCATAGTAGGGAGAGAACCCCACACCTGTCCTCCTTCTCTGCCTGCCATTTAATATACTTGGGCCCAGTTTTGAGGGAGAGCATCATTATATTGTCTTGTATCTCATAATTGTGTCATGCTCTGTCTGTAGTCACCTCCAGGAAACTGGACTGAATCTGAGATTTGGAGCTCCTCCTCCACCATTCTATGTTTGACTTAGTAGGTCTAGTCCTAGTTTTCTAGCACAGACCAGTGCAGTCACAGTGTAAAAAGAAAAGTCATAGTCTCTTGCTAGTGGGGGAGCTGTGAGCATAGACCAGAAATACTAATTTGCCTTTCAAATTTGCTAAGCAACTATCTGCAGAATAGTCCATGTAAATGTTTATGCATACAGAATAGTCAGTACTGAACGTGATTTTATATTGGTGGATACAGACATTCCCTGCTCAAAAATAAACATTACTGACTCTTCATCTGACATTTTTTCTTTAGCTCCTGTTATGTGTTGGAGGCTGTTCACTACAGAGATCAAGGAAAAACTGTTAGTTCAGATTTTGTCTGTTTCCTCTCCGTCTATCTCCTCCCATGTCAACTGTTGAAACCACAGTATGGAAAGTCTCACTTTGATTTACAAGTGTCTTATTTCAGTAAATAACTGATCTGATCTGATGTTGATACAAGACACAACCAAAATGAGAACGCATACTCAGTGATTTGTAGCAGTTTAGATAAAGGGATTTTTAGATCAAAGCAAGATATACTAGAAAGTCTTTGTCTTGTTTTAACAAATGTCATTGCTGTGAAAAGTTTTGCATGCTTGTACATCTCTCTCCACATTTTAAACTTATCTCCTTACTTTCTTTGTGCTATGCCCTTCTTTTGCTTTATGTGTTCACACCATCAGTTGCTTCCTGCTATCATTTGGCCAAATTTGACTGATTCAGAGAAAATACACTGAGGAGGCAGAATAATCCAACCTGTGACTGCCTAGATAGTATGAACAGAGGACTCCAACTCTGTATTGGTTACCTGTCCTTTATTTAAAGAGGTTGCCTTATGAGTTGCAAAGGCAACCTTCCTGTGAAGGCAGAACACACTTTGTTCCCTATTTAGTAAAAACTTACAAGGAATTCAATGCTCTGCATGCAAAGGAGTTTGTGAGTTTGTACCAAAAATAAATCTTTCAGGACAAATGTCCCACAGATAACTCATCTTTTTTTTTTTTTTTTTTTTTTTGTTTTTGTTCTCACTGTCCACTGTCATTGCTCAGTTCTCAGTTCTCTCCTATTTCCTTCTGCCCAGGATCCTGTGATGTCGAGCTGGGTCTTACACTCTTGGCCAGACTACTGAATTCTAGGAATGACAGTGTAGACCCCTGTGAGGATTTCTACAAATATGCCTGTGGCAGCTGGGAAGGCAAACAGTCAAGCAGAACCACAGGAGAATCACTAAATGCATTTGATGTGCTGTTGGAAGAAAACCAGTTGATCCTGAAAAGGCTTTTAGGTAGGGACAGTTGATTGGTGTGTTACCTTCAGCATCTTCCTCAGTCAGAGCTGAGAATGCTAATAACTGAGAGCACAACAATTCCTAACAGGGACTGAGTCCAGTCTCTTTGTTCTTCTATCATTACAGGTACAGATTTATTCTTGAGCATGTCATATTACAATTGTTGCATTTTAAACATTTTACCCCTTGCCAAGTGTAACAGATTAAAGTCACACTTGAAAATTCTGAGAGCAACCAAACCCATTTTCCTGTCAGCTTGGGAAAGTAAACCCTTTTTGCTCTGCTTGTCTGAATGTAAACTCTGGTCATATGTCCTGACTTCATCTGAGACTGAAGCCTAGATATGCACCACCTTCCAGTTGTGTTTCCATGCAAAGAAACTCACGTATTTGATCTCAGGAAGAGTCATGGCACTAGAAGTTATCTTGCTTTGAGTGACTATGGGAAGTGTGGATGTATTTACTAAATTGTTCTGAATCAAAGTGCAATGTAATATTTTCTTACAATCTTTCTCTGCTTTAATAATGCCCCAGCTTTTACTTTTACCACTTTTGTAGTTTTTAATCTATTTTTTTCCTCAGAGGGCCCACAGTTTGGGATAAAAGGCTCAGCTAAGGAGAAAGCAATCCAGTTCTATCACTCCTGCATGGATACCCAACAGATAGAATCCCAAGGAACAAAACCATTGAAGGACCTCCTAAATCAGGTGAATATTTGTGCTCTTTCCTCTGCCTTCAAAAGATAATTTCTGCAGGGAAAATGAAAGTGTGAAGTTAAGGTCATATGGTTCTACATGATGGAATTTTGCTATCAGCTGGTCCTGAAATAAGCTCATGGTTCACAGCACAACCTCTAAGTGATAAATCTTCTAGCTTTAAATGCTGTTTCAAGATTTGATTTTCTGACATCAGGTGCCTGAATTTTTCCTGATGACCTTACACATTACTTTAGGACTGTACAACAACCAAGACTGAAAACGGGGACCACTTTTAATGTCAGAATTTCTGTTCAATTGCATCCAATTTACAGATCAGGGAATATCTTGCAAAATGGGTGAAATTTTTGTGTCTAAGATCTGATGGTCATCCACTACTCCATGCTTCAGAGGAGCTTGTTTAAAGAGGAAAATGCTTCTCTTTCCATTCTGGGAGACTCCTCTCAGTGCCAGGGAGGGTTGTACATCTTCCTGCCAGCAAAGGGCATTTGTGCCCTATCTCCAAGGAGGATGTAGAACCTTCCAGCGGAAGGAACAATGACTGCAGACCCCGCTGTGAATCTGCTTGTCAGGGAGGTAGCACCTGTAATCCCTGATTGTCCTTCTGAATGGCTGTAGAAAAATGAGAACTCTTTCCTTTCTCTTTCTTCTCCTGCTTTTTTCCTATACACCTTGTTCCGTTGATAATTATCATTCGTTTTTCCTGTGTCATTTAGCAGTTCATTGCTTTGCTTAAGTGAAAGTGACAGGTCATTTTAAAGCCAGCAGGGTATGTAGAACTTTATGACTTTCCCCTGTTGCTATTTGCTTTGTTGCTTCTCAGTTGTCATAATGTCTGAGCTCATGGGGATGAAAAAAATATTTTGTAAATATGGATGAAACAAGGTTTTTCTCACCTCCTGTCATGCTGTCTGTCCCCCTCTCTAGGTTGGTGGATGGAATATTACAGATGTGGGGAAAGGAAAAGATTTTAATGAAACTCTTCAGACTGTCATGGGCAGATACAACACCTTTCCTTTTTTCAGAGTCCATGTGGGACCTAGTCCTTTTGACCTCAAGACCAATATTATTCAGGTGAGTGGACTAAAGAAAGAAAATGATCAGGAAACACTGAGAATAAAGTCAGTTACAAAGCCCATGAGACCCAGGCTTGCTCAAGTTAAGCCTATGTCCTTCTCTGAAGAAGATTTTCCTAAATTTCCATAAACTTTATGATTTTATTACATAAAAAGCACTTATTTCTGGAAAATGAGCAGATGAGGAAGAATAAATTACTTACTTTCCCTCATCTCTTCTGGCTGATGGTATAGCTTGTACTTCATCATGGAAGGGTCTGCTTCTACTTATGTTCATGGGTATGACTAGTACAATAATGGAGTCTAAGTGCTAAGTGTCTAATGCAGAGCTGTGTCGCCTCCCAACTTCTTGTGCACTCTCAGCTTCCTCTCTGGTGGAGTGGCGTTTCACTCTCTGGTGAAAAGGCCTTGACTCTGCATAAGCCCTGCTCAGCAGTAACTAAAACATCCCTTTGTTATCACCACTGTTTTCATGACAAATTCAAAACACAGCCCCATACAAGCTGCTATGAGGAAAATTAACTCTATGCCAGCCAAAACCAGTGCACCATGTAGAAATATTTAACAATGTGGGTTACATTTAAGTATCAGTCACTGCAGATTTGTAATCAGCTTGCAAATGAGCTGCAGAACATGATAGATCCACAAAAATTACTTAGCAAATGTTTTCCAAAACTAAAATCAATTTATTAACATTTCAAATTCTGAGACACAGAAATTAACAAAGCCTGTTGAACATATCCTCACATTTCCAGTGTTTCTGTAAATAATGAAATGTTTTTCCTTTACTTCTTTTTGCAGATTGACCATCCTGAGTTTGAGATGCCACCTAAGAGTAAATTCAAAGGGAAAAATTATCTTGAGGTAACATATCAGAGGCACCTTTTCTTCACCTTTTCTTCAGAAAGGTAAAAACAGCTATTTGCTGTAGGGATCTCCTTGAATTGCCTACTGGTTCAGAGTGATCTGTTTCCATGGGTTACGGTCAGTGACCTCTGAAAATATCTCCAGAAATAATTCTTTACAAAACTCTCTACTTTTCCAAAAAGTTAATTTGTAAAATGTAACCCTAAGTAATATGAACCTGGGTTTCCCTCTAAGTTTCACCTTGAATTATTTTTTTTTTTTTAAATATTATTGTCCAAAGTAAGGCTATATAAATTTAAATCTCTGTATTGGGGGAGGGATAGCTAGCATTTTTAAAGTTGTTTTAAAATGTTTTAACCTAAGCTGGAGAAACAAGGTCTTTACAACAAAGTTAATTTCAATTCAGCTCTGTCATTTTTCATTTACAAAAACTGAGTTAATTTCAGTTTCTCAGTCTGACTCTTTCAGAAGAGTCCTCAAAAAAATAAGTCTATCTACTCATCACAAACATTCCTTTGATACCTCATGAACATAGAAGCAAGGAGCTAGCATTTCCTCTCCAGCAAAAATACTGGCTCATTATTTTACTATATCTCTCCTTTGACTCCAGAGATGGCAGGCCTACATCTCTAAAATGATATTGGTATTGTAAGCTGAGATAAAAATAACCTTTTGGGAATTCAGTGTTCCTCACTGAGAGAGGAGCTGTACTTGGCAAACTGTATTCCACATGAAGAATTACATATGGATGTTGCAGTGAATAACACAGTTTTAGGGAGGGGGCTGTAGTGGTTTTGAAAGATTGAAGCTTATATGGTCAAGATGGATGGTTGGATGGATGGGTGGATGAATGGAGTGACTAGTTTTCAATCACGTTCCTCCCGCTGGTCATAAGCTCTGTATTGCAGGTTCTCCGTGTGTATCTCTCATATTTGAAGAAACTGGGGGACCTACTTGGAGTGCCACAGGATGATCCCTCTGACTCCTTTTCCCTTACCTTGTCCTTCATCTCTAACCTCCAGCAAGTTGTCACCCCACTGCAGGAAAGACAGCAGAGGAGGATGCTGTTCTTTCACACTACCATTAAGGAGCTACAGGTATCTATGCCTTAGAACTTGAGCAACACAATTACATGTGACATTCACATTCTGATCAAAACAGATATGAGACACTGTTTAGATGCCATTTCCTCGCAACTTACACTTTGAGTCTGTTGAGCTTTAAATAACCTATTTACTTACAGTCTTTTATTGACAGCAGTTGGATTTTTAAGGCCTACAACTCTCTTCCCTCTCCCCTGTGCTAATTCAATAAAAAAGCCAATTCTACTTTTCTACTATGATCAATACCTGCATCATAAAAACAGTTTAACTTGTTAAGAGTATCTCTTAATAGTATTAGAGAGACTATCCCAGTCTCCCCATTATTTCTTGTCAGTCAATTTAGATTCATAGTTCAGCATGTAAGCTTTGTTTTACTTCTAGGAACAGGCACCTGCTATTGACTGGCTGTCATGTCTCCAGGCTATCTTCCATCCTATGCCAATGAACTTTTCTCAGCCAATTGCAGTGCATGACATGGATTACTTAAGAGGCATGTCACAGCTGATTGAACAATGGCCCAAGAAAAGGTAGGAGTCAATATCTACGGTTGTAGTTGTTCATGCCTCAAGGAATATTATCTTCAGATACCATAAATTAAAGAGGTCTGTGTTAGAGGCTGCTGAATACAATAGCCTAATGTCCTGGTTTTTAGATGAAATAGAGCTGTTTTTAATTTTTAGTAATTAGAAGAGCGG